GCAAGAAGATTTTGCAAGACAAATGGCCTTTTTACTTTTCTTCCTCAACTCTTCCCCTCTCTGTTCTATAAAAGAAACTGGCATCCAGACCCCATAAGATGTTTTTTTGGGTACACTAGTCCGCCATCTTCTCGGTCTGCCGTCTTTCCTTGCCTCAACACCTCGTTTACCGATTTATTGGCCTGTCTCGCGGTGAACAGAGCGAGCTTGGACTCAGTAACAGAAAGAACCGAGGAGTCTCAGAGGAAAGGCCATTAAAGAAAGAGGAGGGCTCAGAAAATCTCTAGGAACTGGAATTGCTGCCACTGAAATTTTTAAATTTTGCTGGAAGGCACAAAAATTTCAGATGACTTTCTCCAGAAAAATGAAGCTATCATTTATAAGCCGTGATTACTTTCTCAATAGAAAATAGGCACTTGGTATCTCCAACAACTTTTTGACAAAACATCTTTCTCAGTTATTGAGTTATAAGGTTACAAGTGGTGCTTCTCAAATAGCCAGCACAGATTGACTAGATCCTAGCACAGCTGAAAGCATAAACCAGTTTTCTATCTCCCTCTTCCCTTACTCCCCTTCTCCATCACACACACACACACACACACACACACACACACACAGCAGGGCTCTATGGGGCTCCCAGGCACAGAGGCCTTTTTGTCCCCCGTTTCTTATAGGCAAGACTGCAGCCTCCATGACCTTCCCTGAGTTCCAAAGGGCAGATTCGAACAGTTGCAGCCAGGAAACCACCTGAGGCAAGATTAAAGGGACCAGAGAAGCTCATCAAGATTAGGAGAGTGACCACCTGAGACCCTGCACACACCCTCATCTTGTCAGCAACCCCACCCTTTTGAAACTGCAGAAGAAAGAAGAATGCAGGACTGTTACCACCTTGATCCTTATCACATACCCTTGACCATGAGCCCTGACTATAAGACCTCTCCCTATTCCCCAGGGAGCGGGGCACAGTTCTTGAGGTGCTACCCTGATGTGTTCCCCTCTTTGTCTGGCAAAGAATAAAGCCACCCTTTCTTTCTCCTCCAAAACTCTGTCTCTGTATCTCATTTTGGCATCAGTGTACGGGGAGCCAAGATTTTGGCAACACTATCTCAGGAAAAAAATCATTCTAGGATCACAAACAGCTGAAATGGCCACATTTGGTTGATATTTTGTGCATGTGTGTCTAATTAGTTTGGAATTGTGGGAAGTTACTGCAATACTTCATGGGTCTTAACAGTTTTCTATCAGCTTCTTGGGTTGTTGCAAAGGAAATATTCCATGAAATTACTAAGGACCCAAGAACTAAGAAGGAAATTAAAAGGCATCTCCTTGGAACACTCTGGCTATAGAAGCTGGATTTGTTCAGAGGCATAAAAAGAAAACCAAATTCGACAGGTAAAAGATGTCAGATATTGGTTTATTCAGGTGTTGAAAGGAGATAGCAGAAACTCAGGAAGAAAAGGATCCACTTTATGACCAGAACTTCATATTGAAATTAAGACAGGAACTGACGAAGAGAGGAGAAAGAAAGTTTGATATAGCAATATAATTAGCCATACATGAAGTAGAGAAGAATGGGACCAACTCTGAACTAAATGAAGTTTTGAAAACTCAACTGAATCTGTGTGAAAATTTCCAATGTAGGTAAATTCAGAACGTAGATGGTAAAAAAAAAAAAAAAAAAAAAAAAAAATTGGTGGGAGAAAGGGTTGTTGGTGCTTCTAATGACTAGCCTCTCAGAACTTATTATCAGGCCTCATGAAAGACAAGATTGGGGCAATCCAGCTGAAGAAGCTGCTACACTACCACAGGCAGACAATACAGGTGAGCTCACCAGGGCTTTCACAAAGGAATCATGGCTAAAATTCAAAAAGTGTGCATTTTTCTGGCATGTATATTCATCAGAGACCTAACTGGGGTGGATTCAATGACAGGAGATTCTTATTATAATCATCAGGGACATATTCAGCTTCATTCATTCATACAACAAATTTAGATTGAGCATGGCATTAAGAATTATTTAGAAGTTGAGTATATAGAGGCAAAAAAGGTAGACAAAGGCCCTAGTGTCATGGAGCTTACATTCTGAAGAAAAGAAAAACAGAGTAAACATGGTTTCAGGTCTTGGTAGATACAATGAAGAAAAAGATTAAAGGGAAGAGAATAAGAGTGATTGGCATTGTGGTAGTTTTTTATAGGAGGGTGGCATTGAGTAGAATTTCTAAAGAAGTGGTTTGAATGGAGTATTTTGAAGGTAAAGCCAATAAACTTGTTATGAATAGATGTAATACAGGAGAAAAACAGGAAACTAGGATGATTCCCAAGTTTTGGGGCCTGAGAAAGTAAATAATGGTGTCCTTCAACTCTACATAGATTTTATTTTTCTGTTATTCTCTTGCTGAAAATCAAACTACACTAGTATGTCTACTCTGCGAAATAGTTTGACAATTTCTTTAAAAAAATAAATAGACACTATATGTCCCAGAAATCTCTTTTCTGGGTATTTATCCCAGAGAACTAAAAACCTATGTCCAAACAAAAAACTACACACAAACGTGCATGGAAGTTTTATAGTAATAGCCAAAAATTAGAAAGAATCAAAATATCCTTCAATAGATGAATGATTAAACAGCAGTATATCCAAACCATGGAATACTACTCAGGAATAAGAAGGAACAAACTATTAATACACTCAACAACTCAGATGGATCTCAAGGGACTTAGGCTGAGTGGAAAAGGCCAATTTCAAAAAATCACATTTTGCATGATTCCATTTATATAGCATTTTCAAAATTACAAAATTATATAGATAAAGAACAGATCAGTAGTTGCCAGGGTTAGGGAGGCTTGGGGGAAGCCCATCAGTGTGACATGAGGGAGATCTCTGTGGTAATGGATCAATTCTGTGTCTTGATTTCAATGGTGGTTACAGAATCTACACATGTGATAAAACAACACAGAACTATATACACACATGGTACCAATGCCAATGTTGATCTTGTACTAGAGTCATATAAGATACAACTATTGGAGGAAACTAAGGGAAGGGCACAAAGGCCCTCACTATACTGTCTTTACAACTTCCAGTGAATCTGTAATTCAAAATAATTTTTTTAATCTAACTATGCTCAAGTATAAGGCAAAATGCATTATATAAATATTAAAAGTAGTACAGTAATAAATATTATATCTGACAAAACGTTGTCTTCTGAATTTATAAAGCACCACTTTTGCCAATACATCTTACCACTTTCAGTGTGTAGGCAGTAGTTTAATTAAGAGATCATCAAGATCTCTTTGTAAGAACATTTTCCTCCTAAAAGCCTCTGGAGGAAACAGCACTTGGAATTCTCACTCTCCCTCTGTTACTTTTAAGCAGTGAAGAGAACCTGTGTGTTCTTGTTTCTGTACCTGTACAAAGGAGTACAGAAGGCTAAACAACTGTTAACATTGGTGACCAATAGCCTGCAGACATTATGAACTCTGAAAAGTACCTTGTTTAGACCCAAGATACTGACATTTCACGAGTCAGCCGACATTCCTGGACTCTAACATTTTTCCCATTAGTGTCATAATATAAAATTCTATAATGTGGAATCTCAAAAAGGATGGCTTAGACCAAAAACCAATTACCATGACCCAGAGGCTTAAAAGGTGCTAAGAACACTAATCATAACTCCAGTCCTGGGACTTCCCTGGTGATCCAGTGGTTAAGAATCCGGCTTCAATGCAGGGGACACAGGTTTGATCCCTGGTCGGGAAACTAAGACGCCACATGCCGCTGGACAACTAAGATCCCACATGCCACGGGGCAACTAAGCCCCCGCACTGCAACTACTGAGCCCGCACGCTCTGGAGCCCATGCGCCACAACTAGAGAGAAGCCTGCACACCACAACTAGAAAAGCCCGCGTGCCGCAACAAAAGATCCCGTGTGGGGGTTCCCTGGTGGCGCAGTGGTTGGGAGTCTGCCTGCGGATGCGGGGGACACGGGTTCGTGCCCCGGTCCAGGAGGGTCCCACGTGCCGCGGAGCGGCTGGGCCCGTGAGCCATGGCCACTGAGCCTGCCGTCCGGAGCCTGTGCTCCGCAATGGGAGAGGCCACAACAGTGAGAGGCCCAAGTACTGCAAAAAACAAACAAACAAACAAACAAAAAACTCCAGTCCTAAGGTTACTCTAGGTCTCAGAACTAGGCTTGGATAAATCATCAAAGTCAACGTGAGGGTGTGTATGGTGATGAAGTCCCCCTCAAAAAACTCCTTTTTCATCATTTTCTTTTGTATGTATTTCCTTAATTCTGATCTTCTGTATCATCCAGTCTCAGTCTGAGTTTAGAATACTTGGTCCTTCACTCCTGTAGAGAGAATTCTACTCCCAAGATCATCATCAAGACATTTAGTACTCAGGTCTGTATGCTATATCCTAGACACTTTTGTCATTGCTGAATAAGCTTACATTTACTAATACTTTCATTCTCTCAGACCGGAATATATTCCAGCTAGAATTTTGTAATGGAGACTAGACTTATAAACTCTTTGCCTAGTCTTAATTGTAAAAGCCTACATAAAACTAATTATTAAATAAAACATTTTCTAAACAGGTTATCTCATATCAGATCCTGTCTACTTTTTCAGAATTTTATGCATTGCCCACAAAACCTATGGAATATGCCAGATGCTGCCTTTCTAGATATTGGTCTCCTTTTGGAGATAGCTCTGCCAGGTACAATGCTATGAACAGAATTATATCAAAGAGTTCCCATTCTAATTTTTGTATCAGTCCATTCATCCTGCTTTTCATGTGCTAAAACATTCTAAAAAGTAAAATATATTATTTTGCCTTTTTATTTTCTAAGGCTGAATAAAAATTAAACCAATGTAAATGACATGAATTAAACATTTTTCTGAAGACAAAGTAGTTTCATTTACTCCTGTCAGAGACTGGAGCCTGGAGAACTATCAACAACAATAATTTTTTAAAAAAAAGAAAAGAAAAGATACTTACAGCCAACCATCATCATGGCCACGGAAAACATCTTTTCCACATCTGTGGTAGGAGCTATGTTTCCAAATCCTATGGTTGTAAGGCTTGTCATGGTAAAGTAGAGAGAGGACACATACAGTGAATCCTTGCTGGGTCCTCCTTCCCATATCCCTGCACTGGTATTGTATCGATACGGAGTCCCAATGCTCAAGGCCAGCTGGTAGAGCCAACTGTCTATCTGGATGGTGTTTGTGACTTCATCGATGACCTCATAGTCCCCAATGCTGTACCATATGCAGGCCAGCCAGTGAGCAACTAGTCCAAACACACACACCAGGAGCACAAGGACCGCTGCTCCATACTCTAGGTAATGGTCCAATTTCCTGGCAACACGGCCCAGTCGCAAGAGACGCACCACTTTTAAAGAACTGAAGAGACTGCTGATTCCCTGAATTAAAAAAAAAAAAGAAATGACACAACACTTTCAGAAAAGAAAAGGCTAAGGAAAACAATACAGTGGTTCACCTTAATGAACTCAATCACCATTTATATACTAAGAACATACACATACTACAGCTCCCACTTTAAGTCAACAACAACAAAAAGCTGAAGTGATAAAGAAACTTTTTAAATGCAGATTCCTTCCCACCAGGAAAAAAGATATTTGTAGATTATTAGATAAAACTTTTCATTAGGTAAGGAAGACGGAGTTTATTTTCATAAGTGGAGTATAAATAGCACAGAGAAAAACCAAAGGAGAAAATAGCTCAAATGCAATATACTCGGAGTATAGAAATAGGGTGATGAATTTAGACCTTTTATTTCTTCTTCCTACAAAACTTTTCCTGTATTCTAAAAGATTTAATTTTATTTCTTTATAAATGCTATGAACAGCAAAACTTCTGAAAAAGGAATCCTAGTTTTACTGTCAAGCAAACAGGAAATACTTCTGTGTATATTAGAATGAGCAAATGCCATTATTTCCACCACCTCCTGCCACAGTTATGATAAGCACTAAATTTGTAGAGCTGTGAAAAAGTGAAGAGTTGAACCTAGAATGGGAACATACCTACAACACTCTATCATCTTCTGGCAATAGTCATTGAAAAGAATACTTTAAGGGAATGGCAGCAAGAAAATTCATATTTTGTTAAGAAGCTTAAAACATCAAATATAGGGCTTCCCTGGTGGCGCAGTGGTTGAGAGTCCGCCTGCCGATGCAGGGGACACGGGTTCGTGCCCCAGTCCGGGAAGATCCCACATGCCGCGGAGCGGCTGGGCCCGTGAGCCATGGCCGCTGAGCCTGCGCGTCCAGAGCCTGTGCTCCGCAACAGGAGAGGCCACAACAGTGAGAGGCCCGCGTACCGCAAAAAAAAAAAAATCAAATATAGCATTATCCAAATGGAAACATAGCATAGACTTTATTCAATCAGTGAAGTTCTCAAAGTTACTTTTTGAGGAAGCATGTGATAAGCCACCCAGGTAGAGAGGGTAAAGCCATTCCTGGTGCATGAGGGAAAGACAAAGCAGTGACCCAGGACCCTCTCATCTGATCATCACCTCCAAGTCTCACAGAGTCCATGACTTCCTTACTGCTAATTCTATATCCCAGGGAGGAGACAAGGCAGCTAACATAAACTACTCTGAACTTAAGTCTGATCAACATGGAGGAACTGGTTGGTACAGTAGAACAGATGTAACATTAATGAGACTCCAATTATGGCATCGTAAAGTTACAGTGAAAAAACGCTGGGAATACATTTAGTTATACTCTATATGATAGTATATATTTGAAATTTTGCAAAATAAAAATTTGAAATAGAGAGAGAGAAAACAAAGAGAAGTAAAAACAGGAGACCTTATGGAAGCAAAAAAAGGAACAGGAGCATCCGGACAGTTTCCTGTCTCAACCTCGATAACCTTAGGCCTGGCTCTTAGGCAGGGATATTGAACTTTAGACAGTAAGAGTAGCATTAATAAAATTCAGAAGATGAATTGGCATAATTCAATGAAATGAGATGTTGAAAGGTAAGATTCAGGAGAGCTTGGAAGCTCTCAAAAAAGGAACTACGTAATCATGAACAAGAAAGACAAAAATAAGTTTTTATTGAGCATTTCTATATGACAGGCTCTGAGCTGTGCCCTGGGGATATTAAGACAAATGTGCCTTGCTTCTGCTCTAAAGAAACCCATAGTCAAAATGCATGAAAAACTCAAAGGGTTAAATTAAAAAATAAAAACAGTGTTATTGTAGATGTTGTCCTCCACTTAGCTCCAATTTTTAAAGGAACTGTGTTACTTCTATTTAAATACTGGGTTGGCCAAAAAGTTCATTCGGGATTTTCTATAAGATCTTACAAAAACCCGAACGAACTTTTTGGCCAACACAATACTACAGAGAAAATTATTTCTACTGGAATTCTTTTTTCGAAACACAGCTAAAAACAAAAGAAGAGAAAACAGAGAGGAAACCTTTAACCCCATTTAAACTAAAAACTAGTCACAAGCCTCAACTAGAATGTAAAGAATCAGGACCCTCTCGAATTAGGCCCAAATAACAGGAGGACATACTCCCCTGACCTCTGATGTAGGCAGATCTCTCCAAGAGGAGGTGATCCACCCTGAGGGGTACCTACTCTGGACTCCACTTAATCAAAAAGCACCATTTTCTATAGCCATGTCCAATATTATTTAAATGTTACAAAATGTCTGGTAAGTATCGTAAACTCTCTCTGTCATGGGCTCTATGTCACCACTTTCTCCTAGATCTTAGCCAACTCTCCAGCTGACGTGTCTTTCAAAATCATTTTCTGGGGCTAACCTTACCCATGCTTCTTCTATGTGTTAGGATTCTCATTACGATTACCCTCAGCCTCTCCTGGTTGATTTACTGCATGCCCATGTTTCAACTGACTTCTATGAGTTCCTGATACAGAAGCCAAATACCTGCTGTACATTTCCATTTAGATATTCCATAGGTGTTCAAAAGGTAATATGTCCCTATTCTTGTGAACAACATCACTATGAAGCCAGTCTCTCAGACCTGGGGCTGAACACCCCCTTTCCTGTCACATCCAACCGGTTATCAAGTCTTGAGGATCTCAGCATTCAAAGTGCTCAAGAAATCTCTCAAAAATATCCCTTCTTTCTTATTCTCAAGGCCATGCCTTGGTCATGGCTTCATGTTTTTTCTCACTGTGTGACAGGAATAGCCTCTCCATCAGCCATACTACCTCTGTTCTCACTCCCTTTAATTATGTGATCACACTGTAGAGGCTACCAGCCTGCTATCGTTTTACCTCATATATATCTAATATATGTCCCTCTCTGGTCTAAAATCTTTAGTATTAGTTCATTACCTATAGAATCAAGTATTCACTCCCTACTATGACATGCAAAGCCCTTCAGGACCTAGCATCTGCCTGTCTGGTCAGCATCTCTCCCAGCAAGTCCTCCTCCTGCCGTCTAGACTCCTGCCATGTTCAACTATGTGTAGTTCCCAGAGTGCCCATGCTGTTTCATGCCACATGAACAATTTGTCCCCTGTACTTAAAGCACTCTTCCCTCCCACTCTTTTGGTGGCCAGGGTCTTACTTATAGTTTATGGCAGAGATTCTCTCCTCCATGTCCAGTTCCCTGACATCTTCTTACCTCCCCCACCATCTTCATTGTTATACCCACTGTGAGAGTTAGGTGTCCTTATTTTGTATTATCATGTCCTCTTTGTCCATCTCTATTACAACAGTCATCATAATAGCACTTTATTACAAGTCTCTGTTTGCATGTATGGTATCCCAGGAAACTCTAAACCCCTTGAAGAATATAACTAGTGTCAATTACAAAGTATGGCATATGGTAATAGGTTAAGCAGTCAATACGTTCAATAAATGTATGAAAATCTTTTTACGACACAAGTAAATGTGGGTGGGGTGAATTGAGTGTGTGGTGGGGCAGGGAGGGGGCATAGTTAATAATCTTATGTGATAGGTATCATTACTAAACATAGCCTAGAAACATTAAATAATTTGACTAAGTTCATGCAGCTGGTAAGAGGAGGGGCCAAGAATCAAATATAGGCAGTCTTGTCCACACTCCTTGCACTTCACTATCTGACCTCATTCTGAACCTCACTATATCTAGAGCATAATGTGCTCTAGATATAAACAAATCACATTTGTACCAGCAGTATTGGCTTAAATACAGGCAGGCTCTATAAGACTGAATAAAGGAGATTAAATACCTTGCCTCCCATTTATTCCCACCCAGGCCCAACAGTGGCCCACTTAGGGGTCTGTGGAGGCCCCAGAACCCTAGAGAGTCTGCAATTCTCTAACATGGACCAACTCATTTCATTCTCACAATACCAGGACTCCTATCTCTACTGTTCATAGGCGTACACTGAAGCTCAGACAGGTTACACGACTTGTCTAAAGTCACACAGGACCTAGTCCTTCAGATTCTTCATGCATTTCCCACAATAGCCAACTGCTGTGCAGTCTTCCTGTCCTTATCCCAATAATCATTGCAATATTAATCTTCTTAAAAGACAGTATCGAGCATATCCTCCAGAGGCTCATTATAGACATTAAACACAATTTCTACAGGCCTTCAAGGTCCACAACCCCATTTCTGTCCACACTGCCAGGTCATTTCCAACCATGCCTTTGCCAAGCAGTAGTGCTCCAGTCAAACCAAACTCCTTTTTGCTCTCAAACATAACTCCAAAGTTTCACCTTTTAATTTGTCCACAGTGTCCCTTTCATCTACTTATCAAACCAGAAACTGTTATTCAAAATGAGTAATACAGAAGTGTTTGCTTTATTTGGAAAGTTGTTTTTTAGCTATCTCATTCTCCACTGTTTTGTATCCAAAAGAATTTAATGCAATTACTATAATCAAAACTCAAAGTTAATGACTTTGTTCTAAAATTTGATGAAATACTTAAAACTTGAAACAATCCAAATGTCCATCTCCAGTAGAATGGATAAATCATTGCACCTTCACTCAATGCAATACTATCTAGAAATAAACATGAACAGACTAGAACTATATGAAATAACAAGAATGAATCTAAAAAGTATCATACTGAACAAAAGAGACTAGACACAAAAGAGTATATATTGCATGATTCCATTTATAAAAGTTTAAATACAAATGGAACTACTCTTAGGGATTAGACGTCATTAGAAGTCAAAGTGGCTTCCTTGAGCTCTACATGTAATATTGATGTAATTTTTAAAGAATGTTTTATTTAAATATCAAAACAATGTTAAGGAAAATCCATTAGTCACTGTTGTGTTGTTAAGGTTAACATTTCACCACGGTACATAATTCAGATTAATGATTTCTTCTGCATCATGTGATTTGGGGAGGGGGAAGAGGTGTCATATTCAACTCTATCTAAAATAAGAGATTTTACTTATTTTATAACTCACCCTCATAACCTTT